ATAAACCACACACGTGAACAGTAATTAAGCAAATTATGTTTCATTTTACAAAATAAACAATAAAATCTTCATTGCAGATAAACCAGAACAGAACATACACAAACAATAAAACTGTCGAACAGTTTGAGGAGGACTCACTATCAACAAGAAATAATTCTGATGTAGCTCTGGAGCATTAACACAGGACAAGAGAACAGAACATGCCTGATTTGATTCCAAACATGCATGTTAGAACAGGCACTGCAGTAGTGTTTTTAAATATACTCATAAAATAGACTCATTTATATTGAAATGAGAAGCAGCTGCATGTATGTAAAATAGAAACTTTAAACTGCTTTTGTGCACCATCAGATGTCCTAGATGTCTTCATCTACAAATCCAGGCTTAGTGGGATATTTGGTGTTATCAGACGCTGCAAAAATGTATAACATTCATACGACATACATTTACATCTACAGGTACATTCAAAATAATGCACACAAACACATACTCCAATCAAACATAACTAAAGGGGAAACTGCAAGCATATATCTCTGCGAAGGCTCAACAGTCCCCTTATGAAACCACATTGAAATCTTCTCGATGTTTATTTGGATCTGTCATGGATTGCCCACAAACAAGTATCAGTCCCCTAAATTATTTTTTTCAATGGAAATCAATGAATTATCCTTTGCAAAATCGGGGAATATGTCAAAAAATGTCCCTTCTCTCAATGTTAAAGAAAGTGAAACTAATTCCTTGATCCACCCCTTTGTACATGTTTTTTTTCCACAGCCCGTGTCCCATCCTTCCACCAAGTTTATGGGAAAAAAATGAAACAACCTTCAAAAAATTGTTATCAATTAAACCACGCAACATGAGGTCAGCTGGACTGTAAATAGAGTGATGTCGGTGCTGAAGGACAAAACAACACATCTAAGATTTCTCTATATTCAAACTTAAAAGTCAACAATATAACATGCACATACATGTTGCCATGGTTTCTGATGGAAATTTCAGCCTGTGTAGGCAGAGTGCATCGTGCCTCTACTGATTTGTGGAACAGCTATAGGCTTAATGAGATGCCTGTCATAATATAAGGTGTATTGAGTGAACCCTCCTTCTCAGTAACACTACTAATTGAAAATGCAATGAATCAAGTGGTTCTCCAGATTAACAGAATAACACAGTAGATTAATTAACCATCAGCTGCTTCAAACAAAAGTAATTAGGAGGTAGGGACTTTTCTGTCCTATCCCAAGTGCTCTCTCTCTCTCTCTC